CGTGATGCTGAGTGAAAGAAGCCAACACAAAAGGCCACGCACTGTGTGGTTCTATTTAGATGAAATGTCCAGAAGAGCAAACCCATGGAGACAGACAGCAGACCGGTTGTTGCCAGGGCCTGGGGGCAGCAGGAACGGGGAGGCGCTGCTCGTGGGCACAGGGGTTCTTTTGTGGGTGATGAAAATTTCTGGAATTAGAGCGATGGCTGCACAACCGAGAATACTAAACCCCACCAAACTGTACATTTTTTTAAAAGGATGAATCTTATGCTACGTGAGCTATATCTCAATTAAAACAAAAATTTTTTAGGGCTTCCCTGGTGGCGCAGTGGTTGAGAGTCCGCCTGCCGATGCAGGGGACGCGGGTTCGTGCCCCGGTCCGGGAAGATCCCACATGCCGCGGAGCGGCTGGGCCTGTGAGCCATGGCCGCTGAGCCTGCGCGTCCGGAGCCTGTGCTCCGCAGCGGGAGAGGCCACAGCAGTGAGAGGCCCGCGTACCCCCCAAAAAAAAAAATTTTTTTTAACTCAAGGGAAAAAACATTCCGGCAGGCCTGCCCTGCACGCTCTCCAGCGCCCCCAGGGAATGGAACGGGCTTCCTCAACACTGTGCATGCACCCTTAGTCCAAGTGGGTGCAGAGCTGGGAGACATGCGCAAAGATCCAAGGTCAGAATGGTCTCGGGGCTGCAAGGATGGCAAGGAAGCCAGGCCGTGGTCTCTATGTGGATCCACGGGACGAGCGCCCCGTGGCGCCAGGCCCGGGCTGGTTCTGGCTGACAGCGCGGGGCCACAGGTGCTCGGGGCGGGCCTGGCCCCCAGGCTGGTCACAGGTCGGGTTCTCTGCGTCCTCCACACTCCCTGGGCCACCCCCTCCTGCACCTGCCCATGACACTGAAGTCTGGTTAACAAGGGACCTCGGAGGCAGTAAAGACAGCAGAAATGCAGCCCGGGAGAGCAGACGAGGGAGACTCAGGACAGCCCATGGACCCTCTCCCCTTCTCCCCGCTGCGGGGAATTCTGCCAGGGCTTCCTTCACACGTGTGCGCGTGCCTGCCTTTCCAGGATAAAGCAGGATCAGGCGACAGCAATGTGCAAGACAAGCCACTGTGGTGAGGCCGGGGGGCACCGTCTCTACAGGGCAGACTCCTCCAGTCCCGCACCCTGCTTTTCCTTCCACTGCCCGTCACACACTGCAAGTCATCCCCTGCCGCTGGGAGGCCTGGGAAGCGTCATTCTGTAATGGTGTCACAACACGCATGGCCTCGTTCTTTAGAAACACCTAAGGTTCCTTCCTCAGTCAAGGCAGGAGGGAGGACTGCAGAAGACGAGGCTGGAAATGGGCAGGAGCTGAAAGGTAAAGAACCTTCTGCACCAGCTAAGGTGCAACACGAGTTTACCTTTCCAGCAAGAGCCTGAGAAGCCCCGCCGGGCTCCGGCACGTGCACGGCTGGGGGTCTAGAGGAGGCTGGCGCACGGAGAGTCCCGAGGTGGTGACAGTACAAGACCGGTCCTGTGACTGCCCCGAGAGGCGATAACGGAGGCCGGGACACCGGGGGTGAAAGAGAAGGTACAAATACGAGACACTGAGGCTCCAGGGACTGGGTGATCGGTTGGCCACGGAAGGTCAAGGAGAGACAAGCATCAAGGATGACTCCTGCATTTGGGGATAAACCTGTGGGCAGGCCCGGAAGTGCAGGAGAATTAAGGTAAAGGAAGGTGCAAGCTCTGCATCTGCAACACGCTGAGTTGCAGCAGCCTGGGCGGTACCCGGGGGGCTCTCCCAGATTCTGGGCCTGCAGTGGAGACCTGAGCGCTGTCCGCCTGCCTCAAGGAAGCGCACGAGACCACCTAGGCAAGAGAGGAGAGAGAAAGGAGGGGCCTCCAGCAGAAACCGACACTGCCGCGCACGCCAACAGGAAGAGCCAGTAGAGGCCACTTTCACAAGGGTCAAAAGAAAGAGCGTTTCTGCGTGAACGAGACATCGCTTTCAGATCGGCAATAACACCACAGGTAATTCGAGAATCACACTCTGTAAAAGCAAACCTAGTCCCTGCCAGGGAGCACAAGGAGGAGTGTCCTCAATCAGCAGCAGACAATGTAAATTCACCTCTGGGGGTAAAACTGCACAAGTACATGCAGTGGTGTGAGGTTCTAATAATTTCTCTCCAAAATGCCAGCCCCTGAAAGTGGGGAGGAAGAGGGGAAACAGTAGCCCCACCCCAGCTCGTAACCCGCAGAGGCATCCACTCTGGACGATTTCATCCACCCTGTGGTGAGATCAACATAAAATAAATATGACTTGAGCAGCAGCAGGCCTGTCTTTTCAAGTCCAGATGTTCCTTTCCAAACTTGCATTCAAGATCCAGGGCATCTTGGGCTTCCCTGGTGGCGCAGCAGTTGAGAGTCCGCCTGCCGATGCAGGGGACGCGGGATCGTGCCCCGGTCCGGGAGGATCCCACATGCCGCGGAGCGGCTGGGCCCGTGAGCCATGGCCGCTGAGCCTGCGCGTCCGGAGCCTGTGCTCCGCAACGGGAGAGGCCACGGCAGTGAGAGGCCCGCGTACCACAAAAAAAAAAAAAAAAAAAGATTCAGGGCATCTAAACACTAATGAAAATTAAAAGAAAAGCTGCACCTACCAAAAAAAGCACACAGCTGTTTTAAAGACCAACGTATTTGATCAATACGAAGTACTCAGTTTTCCAGAAGTTAGGGTTTTCTTTTTTATATGCTTGTCTACAAAAAGCTAAATGATAAAACTCAATATATACCATAGAAACGAAACATATCATTTTTAAAATTCCAAGTGGCATACACAAAACTCAGCTTCCTTTAAGCTAGCACGTGATTCCAAAGATTGTCGACAACGTAATTCTTAAGAGAATTACGTTCAAGCAACTCGTAATTAGATCTGCACGGTACCAAGCAAAGAATTCCACAGACGGGGAAAAAAATTCAATATAGCTCTACTACCAAAAATAAGATTATTAAATGTTTTGGGTTGTTGATTATCTTTTCCGTTAGTTTCAATTTTTTGAAGATGGTTTGAATCTTTCTGCAACAAGAGAAAAACAGTACTGCTATGCTTACAAATTGACAAGCACATGCACAATTAGCACAGATAAGTATCACTGGGTTTACAGATTTACAAACATGGCACAGTTCACACAGATCAGAATTTCATCAGCAGCAGTATTTCATCAGCTTCAGCATTTCCAAGCCACAAGCAAAGAATCCCTTCACCTCCTTTGAAAGTCATGGAGGGCCACCGGGGTTCCCCCCACCCACCTTCCCAGGCTTTCGGTAAGCATTTCAACACCTGGAACAGAAGAGGCTCTCCTTCCCCACCCCTCTCGGCATCCCCTGCCCCCTAACCCTCAGATCCCCACACGAATGCCACCCTCCTCCGGGGACCAGCTTTACTTTGCCCTCGCCTTTATCTCCCTTTCCTTGATGGTCTACCTCATGTGTCTCTGTGTTCTATTCCCTAGGGAAAAGAAGAGCCTGCCATACAAGATCATAACTGATTAATCTGATAGAGGCAGCCCGGTTAATGAGGATTTAATGTAACCCACCCAGGCAATACCCTCTGCACTTGAACCAAAGTGGTGAGTAAAGCACAATTCAACCAGGAGAAAGGTGCACGCCCTGACATCATACCGGCGGGGCGGCCGGGCAGCCACCCTCCTCTCCTGTGGTCAGCCCTCCCAGGGGGCTAAGGAGCTGGACCGGGGAGCCTCCCCGCCTCTGCCCCACCTCTCCATAGCTCCCAGGCAATCGTCGGCAGGGAGGGGAAGGCAAAGCAACACGGGCTGAAAATTAAATTACCAGCTGAGGGAAAAGCTATGATGGAAAGAAGCAGAACTTCTGAGCACGCAGGTCTCATTTTACGAAATAAGTGTGCAGGGAATAAGCTACATGCTAATTGGACACCCACAGTGATTCCTTCTACAAAGTAAATAATCATTCCCTCTGTATGGGTGTAAATTAAACATTATATATCCAGTCTCTTAAAGCTAGCGGTATTCATTAAAAGGAAAACTTTTGAAAACAAACTTATGGTTATCAAGGGGGTAACGGGGGGGAAGGGATAAACTGGGAGACTGGGATTGACGTATGCACACCACTACACATAAAATAGAGAACTAATAAGGACCTACTGCACAGCACAGGGAACTCTTCTCAGTACTCTGTAATGACCTACACGGAAAAGAATCTAAAAAAGAGTGGATATATGTATATTATAACTGACTCACTTTGCTATACACCTGAAACTATACTATAAACTATTTATAACACTGTAAATCGACTATACTCCAATAAAAATTTAAAACAAACAGAACAAAAAAACAACAACAACAAAAAAGAAAATTCCTGATTTCTCTCCAGATTTCGTTTGTTAGAATGGTCCAACTCTTGTAGTGAGTAATCAAAGAAACGTGTAATGGCCCAAATACAACAGAGGCTTATTTCTTGCTCATATACTGGTACTACTGGGAGGGTAACCAGGCTATGGTCAGCTAGCTTCCTCCTCAGGCATTCAGGGACCCGTGCTGATGAGGCTCTGCCCCAGGACCATCTTCATTCCAAGACAACCAGAAGAGGAAAGCACGACAGGCGGTAAATGGCCTGCATCACTTCTACTTGCTTCTGATTGGGTAGAACTATGGCCTCATAGCTGCAAGGGAATCTGGGAAGTGTAGTCCAGCAGCATGTGCAGAAGGAAAAGGAGACACAGGCTCCAGTAAACAGATAGCATCTCTACCAAGCCTGTGGGTCTGACTCCATGCCCTGAAAGATTTTCTACTGCCAGAAAGCAAAGCGGTGAAGAAATGGAGTCTGTTGCCATGGGATATTTAACCTTCATCTTTCCTACTATTTTCACTTCCCAAACCACTTTTTAAAATCCAATTCTTCTGAATATCACATTGATCTGAAAGAGCCACCTTTCATTAATATTATAAAAAAGAAAGACCAGTATTATTCAAAAATACTTTAGGGACTTCCCTGGTGGTCCAGTGGTTAAGACTCCACGCTCCCAACGTGGGGGCCCAGGTTCGATCCCTGGTTGGGGATCCCACATGCCTGCTGCAACTAAAAGTCCACATGCCGCAACTGGGAGTACGCATGCCGCAACTAAAGAGCCTGCATGCTGCAACTAAAGATCCCGCATGCCACAACTAAGACCCGGTACAGCCTAAATAAATATATATATATATATATATTTTTTTTTCTTGCGGTACACGGGCCTCTCACTGCTGTGGCCTCTCCCGCCGCGGAGCACAGGCTCTGGACGCGCAGGCTCAGCGGCCATGGCTCATGGGCCCAGCCGCTCTGCGACATGTGGGATCCTCCTGGAACGGGGCATGAACCCGTATCCCCTGCATCGGCAGGCGGACTCTCAACCACTGCGCCACCAGGGAAGCCCCAATAAATATATTTTTAAAAAACCAGTTTTTGGTGGAAAGGAGGAAATAATCACTTCCAGTAGGCTGTAAATAGCACAACTGATGTACTGGTGCTTGGCATAAGATGTGTATTTGAATTAAATGCTTTTCTACAACTCCAATGCTAAACAGTCAGAGTAAGTACCAAAATCTCTAGGAGACACATTAAAATGTTGCCATACAAAATCCAGCTTAAAGTCTTTCCATAATAAATTGGCAATTTCATACATTAACATTACTTTTTTAAGAAATTTTTTCACATTACTTTTTATAGTTTTCCAAATTCTTAGTGAAGCAGGATGAAGTAGGGGAAAGGGGGGAAGGCGGAGGAGAGATGGAATTTAAATCTACTAGAACTAGGGCTTCCCTGGTGGCACAGTGGTTAAGAATCCGCCTGCCAATGCAGGGGACACGGGTTCGAGCCCTGGTCCGGGAAGATCCCGCATGCCTCAGAGCAACTAAGCCCGTGTGCCACAACTACTGAGCCTGCGCTCTAGAGGCCGTGAGCCACAACTACTGAGCCCACGAGCCACAACTACTTAAGCCCATGTGCCTAGAGCCTGTGCTCCGCAACAAGAGAAGCCCCCGTGATGAGAAGCCCGTGCACCGCAAAGAAGAGTAGCCCCCGCTCTTCGCAACTAGAGAAAGCCCGCACACAGCAACAAAGACCCAATGCAGCCAAAAATAAATAGATAAAAGTTTTAAAATGTTAAAAAAAATCTAGAGCTAGCTTTCCATACTGACTCATTTCACCCCTGTGTCAACATAGTGAAGTGGGAATGATTCTAGTTTGACAGCCTGAAGGATTAAGGGTGAGAAAAGGTTAAGGACAGAGTGCACGATTCAGCTACATATGCAAGACGTTCTCTCCAAACTGGAACCACTGTGGCCACAGCAGGAGGCAGAGATGACCACTCTCACGTCGCCAAGCAAAGCAGGGCTCCTCCAAACTGGCAAACCTCGCACCAACGTTCAAATCTGCCCTACACCAGAAACTTATGTTCAGCAGAGGAAAACACTACTATCTGAAGGGATGTGACCAGCGCAAAAGGAACAAGCGAAGCTATGGCCTTAAAGGAGTCATCATTCACCCACATGCACCAGCCTCCAAAAAGCACTGTGGTCACCCACTCTTACATACCTGCAGACGGCAAGGACGAACTGAGCCCCCAACAGAAGGCAAACAAACACACAAAAAGCAGCGGAGCTCAGAAACGGAATCCACACAGCAAGAAGACATTTTGTAAAACCAGTGAATATTCTCAAAGATATGAAAGAAGAACCATGAAACAAGATCAGTATGGTATCAAAAAGGAACATTCGAGAACAACACTAACAAAACAAACAGACAAACAAAAAACAAACAACTCTGGAAATAAAAAAAAAACCGAAAGCACACATTTAAAACTCAATGGAAGGGTTGGAAGATAAGGCTGTACAAAATCTCTGGAGAAGAACAAAAATACAGAGAAAAGAAAAATACGACAGAAAAAATTAGAGTTAGTCCAAAGGACTAAGAAACAGAAAGCTTTGGGACCTTCTTGTTGGTGCAGTGGTTAAGAATCCGTCTGCCAACGCTGGGGACACGGGTTCCAGCCCTGGTCCGGGAAGATCCCACATGCCGCAGAGCGACTAAGTCCATGCGCCACAACTACTGAGCCTGCGCTCTACAGCCCGCGAGCCACAACTACTGAGCCCGCGTGCCACAGCTACTGAAGGCCGCGCGCCTAGAGCCCGTGCTCTGCAGCAAGATAAGCCACCTCAATGAGAAGCCCGCGCACCAAAACGAAGAGTAGCCCCCGCTTGCCGCAACCAGAGAAAGCCCACGTGCAGCAACGAAGACCCAACGCAGCCAGAAATAAAAATAAATTAATTAAATTAAAAAAAGAAACAGAAAGCTCTGTTGTCTCCCCAACAATACTGTACACCTGCAGAGGTTAGAACACCACCTGCAAAGTAAGTGCCTAGGGAAAACCGTCTCCAACTCAGACTTGCACACCCAACAGTCCATTTACTGTCAAGGTAAAATAATGACATTCTCAGATAGAGAAGGTCTCAAAAGACAACCCACTGTGTGTCTGAATATAGTAAAAGATTTTTTGCAACTGGGGAAGATGCGGCGGATGAATCAACGATATGCACATAGAAAATCAGGCAAAGAAACAAAGCGTATCCTTACACTTGGTGGTTATGAAAACTTGTGCAGGAGAAATAATCATAGTTTGTACCACCAGGCTCAGCAAGTGTTGGCACTGGCATTCAAAATAACACACACACCGAATACTGCTAACCAAGTGGTTCTCAAAGGGGGCAATTTATTTTATTTTTTTGCAAATGCTGTAACATTTTATTCTGTCAATTATGAGACGAAAAACAAATTTTAAAAATAAATTTTGTCTTTAAATAACTTTTTCTACATATTAGCAAGATGCTTTAGCATTTATTTTTTTTTGTATTCATATTAGTTTTCCTTTTCTAACATCCTCATTGGAGTACAATTGCTCCACAATGGTGTGTCGGCCCCTGATGTACCACAAAGCGGGTCAGCCACCCGCATACATACATCCCCACGTCTCCTCCCTCTTTTGCCTCCCTCCCTCCCACCCTCCCTATCTCACCCCTCCAGGTGGTCACAAAGCACCGAGCTGATCTCCCCGTGCCACGCGGCCGCCCCCCACCAGCCATCTTCCCCACCCATTAATCTGTCGACGGACAGCCAGGATGCCCCCAGGTCCTGGCCCCCGCAAAGAGCGCCGCAATGAACACCGTGGCACATGACTCTCCCCCGAACCATGGTCTTCTCAGCGCACAGGGTTTGTTTTTTTTTTAATTTTATTTTTTTTATTGAAGTTGAGTTGATTTACAATGTGCGCCAATCTCTGCTGTACAGCAAAGTGACCCAGTTCTACACATAGAGACATTCTTTTTTTTTAATATTCTTTTCCATTATTGCTTGCCACAGGATTCTGAATACAGTTCCCCGTGCTCTACAGCAGGACCCTATTGTTTATCCATCCTACATACAATAGTTTACATCTGCTCATCCCAAACTCCCAGTTCAAAGGGGGCGATTTTTGTCTCCCAGTGGACATCTGGCAACGTCTGGAGACGTTTCTGACCATCTCAGCTACCGGAGACGGAGGAATCTGTACTGGCTTCTCGGGGGTGGAGGCCAGGAATGCTGCTCCCACAGGGCACAGGACGGCCCCCCACGACAAAGAACTAGGTGGCCCCAAACGTCAGTGATGCTAAGGTTGAAAAAACCCTCTTTTAACCAAAATTATGATGTAGTTACGTTGGGAGTATGGGGGCCCAAGGTATGTGTCTGGGTAGCTGGTGTGGAAAAAAAGACTATGTCCCAAGCTCCCATAGTGGGAAGTCAACAGTTATCCCGAAAGGGAACAATGAAAGTAGCAGCCGTATAGAATATGGGCAAATGCCCAAAGAAATCAGCTAAAAAGTTTCAATAGCTTCTCTAGGGAAGAGGAAATGACAGTGGGGAACTGCTGGTATGATAACAAGCCCTGCAGAACTATTTGATTATTTCAACCCTGCAAGAGCCACTCTGATAAAAATAAAAACAAATCTCAAAAAGATACACTAAAAAAAAAAAAAAGATACACTAACATTTTGTGTCTTTCCTCCCTGGAATAAGTAAAATGTTGCCTTTAGAGCCCACACAATCTACCCTGCCTGGGTTCTTGTTGACCTTCACAATTTGCCTTTGATCTGAAAGTCTTAGTCACCTTTGGCCAAAAGAAAGACAATCCCAACCCTTCCCAGGCCACGTAGAGCACTGTTCTTCCAGACCCATCCCACAGAGGCGGCAGACATTACCTCCAACTTCATACCCAGCAGATTTCAGAAAAACAGCCCAGGTTAAAAAAAAAAAAAGTCCCCTCTGCATTGCAATTCAGAATATCCTGGCTTTTCAGAACAACCTTAGTTGTTCGAACCTAAAATAAAGTTAGTCCAATTATTTTTTAACCATATCCTACCGTCGTCCTTCCACTAAGATATGTTCCCCCAAAGAGAGGCCTTAACGTTCGCACTGGTCAGGGAAACAGGCTCCACCTACCACAGGGCCATGCAAATATCGAATCCAGCAAGGTAACAGGAAAACAATTCTTCCAGAATACACCCTCCCTCTGTTGAGCATAGGCAAGGTTTTAAAAAGACCAAAAGAGCAATATGCAACCCTGAGGGCTTTCAAAACCCTTCGTGTGGGTGGAAATTGCAGCTTGGAAGAGTGCGGCTTGCATAATTTCTCATCAAAGGATGGCCCCATGCCTGACTGCAGTGCATGAAAAGTAAAAGAGGTAAGACTGAATAAAAAGTCTGTTCAGCCTTTAAGTCCTTAAATTATCTCGTTGACTGTTTACACTGCGCCCAGTGTACAAGAAGAAAAGCTCCCCAGAGCCCCGAAGAAATCCTCAAATCCAGGTTCATTTGCATGCTGACACAAAGCAACTTCGGCAAGAGGACAGCTCCAAAATGCCTTCCAAGTAGAAAAGCCAGCCCTTTGCAAGCTGGGAGCCCAGCTTCTTTGGCCGAGAAATGGAAAGGTGAATTAAGAAATCCCAGATGGTTAGGACCAGGTGAAAACGGCTGTTTTTATGAGCCTTCCGT